TTATTACGTTGAATGAATCCATACCCACTCTTAGAGCTAAATTCTCCTCCTTCTACTAATTTGAACAGGTAAGGAAGACTGGGTGTGCTCATGGGAGCTATAGCAAACTTTAAGCATTGTGCTAAATCTGGTCGTCCTGTTAAATCAATGCAGTGCTGTATCTCTAACTTGAGTCGTTTGAGGAGAGGCTTTGAGAGTGATACTGCATACACAGCACTCACTAGGACAGTATTAGGAGGAAACTCGAACTGTCCTCCTACCAGAGCAACCACTGCTGCTTCTACTGTCTCAGAGGACAATAGGCTTCCTTCTTGTACTCCAATCCTTAGACCATATTTCTCCCAATTCATCAGTTGAGGTTTGTCTCCTTGAATTAAGAACAGCTTCTTCTCTGCTACCTGGACATCACTCAGACATTCCAAATCATCTATCGAAATCAAAACACATTCCAACTCATGCATGTGGTGTATCTCTTACCCATTAATCGCATTAAGTAGTTGGACTGAACTTTAACAGACCTAGTCTCTTTGGTTAATTGTTTCTTTAGGGATGTGATCATCTCAAGCAGTTGTGATTTCTTTTTCATTAGCTTCGATATGTGTGCGTCTTTTTCCAAAAGTTTGGTTTTCAAACCATCTACAAAATAACATCATTCTCTTATTCAATACTGTTTCAAGTGATACACTGTGTATTATGCATAATACACACAGCCTCACACTGTGTATTACACACTGATAAGGCTATAATAATTGAATTTCAATCATTATTTTAATCAGATGTTTTAAAAATTTCTATAACATAATTTAAAGCCTCACTGCCATTAAGACCTATACCAGACATAATTTTGATTTAAAAGACAACAAATTATCAATAATTTAAAACTTACATGTACTTTCACTCATTCTTGTTTTACTACCTTTGTTACACTGCAGAATAAAACAATTTATTACAACTAAATTGTTAATATTTTTTTACATAAACATACCATTTTTGCTGCTTCAATCCAGTATTTATGACATGAAATTGTTGAATCAATAGAGCGTATGCAAGCCTGGCATAAATCAGAGTCATCTTTGAAATTGAATAAATGACTATCACCATCAACAGCAGAGCATGGAATACCAATGGAATACTTCAAATATTGAATCTGGTTAGATATTTTATCAAGGCTATCACAACATGCCTCAATGACTCCTTTGCAAGCTGACACACAATGATGCATGCCAGTACAGGCATCATTTATGTGAAGAATGAGCTTTGTTTGGCTTCCTCCATACACCATTGTAATTTGAATTGGACAACCACTTGGAGTACAATATCCAAACTGTGAAGTGTCGAAACTTTCGTTTCCAATGAGATAAAAGTTTTGCCTTTTCATAATCTCATGACTGATGCTTGCTTGAATGTTAGCAGGAAAATTAGGACTTTCAATTTTAAGAAAAGCATAGTCATTGCTATGACCAGATGGAGATTTTTTATCAATTCTGGCAGAAGGTAAATAGTAACACACTTCAGTCAAAAAACGTCCATTCAAAAAAGCCTTTTCTTTACTAATAAAAGCTGCCATTCCAAAAGTGATGATAATTTTTATAAAAATTTCCATGTGTTTTTTCAAAATTTCCGATGCATCTGAAATCTTGATGATACCATAAGTGGTCAAATCTTTGTACCATTTCTTTTCTTTTTTGGGATAAATAAGCTCATTTAAAAACTGTACAAACTCCCAAATATCAACCACTACTATGTCTCTGAGATCTCTAAACTGTGGCATATAAAGGATGCTACCAAAATCAGTAAAAGTGACTAGAAAATTTTCAAAATCTTCTTCGTCCATTCGTAACTCTTTGGCAGCATAATCATAAACTTCTCTTTTTTTCAATATTATGGCTTTCATTGCCCCTTCCTTCTGCTGTACAGAAACCATAAAACTATGTAAGAAAATCCATTTAAGCGGAAGGGTTTTTTGAAAAATTTGCTCTTTCATAATAAATTTTGTAATTTCCTCTTTCGCCTTTTTCAATGAATCAGCATCATTAATCGAAACAAGTGCAACGTTTGAAACGAATTTCTTAATATTCAGCTTTTCTGCTTCTTCTTGTATTTTATCAGTAGCGGCTTTATGGAGTTGTGAAGAAAAACCAGCAACAACAGACTGGCTATTACTAGAAGCAACAACAAGTGTTCTTTTACTATCATCTTCTTTCTGTTTTGGATTGTGGCCAAGTGTTGCAAAGTGAAGAATGCAATTAAGTCGTGACCTCATTGTCAAAGCTAAACGATTGTCACCTCTTCTGCTATAGTGATCAGCTGACAAATCTGGCACTTCATCAAGCTTAGGACCATCACGCTCTAAAGAGAAAAAAACAAGGCGCAAATGACCGCGGCAAAAGGAGAGCATAATAGGGAGGAAATCATAGAGGGCCTTGTTAACACCAACATCCATTATATTGGCAAGAGTGAGGCCATTGAGAAAAAGAGCCTCTTTCTTTTCATCCATGGAAATATCCTTTAGCTGTTTTGCTGCTTTCCCCATGAGCAACTTAAAATGATGGTCAACTAACTTATTTTGACTTACATGGCCATCACTTAAAAACTCAACTCTTTTTATGTCGGATTTAGCAAGAGCAATATGACGAACAAGACCACAGAGAATAGAGAAAATGGCTCCATATTGCTCTGTAGCAAAAGACCACGAGTATTGATCATATGGCTTACCACCAAGCACACACAGCTCGTAAATAGATAAACCATCAGGATTTTTCTTTCTTGTCATATACTCTTCAAAGTTTCGTGTTGCGGTCTCCTTCAATTTGATATTTTCTCTTAAAATGGACTCTAAAATTGAGGTTTTGTTACAATCTGGCAGTCCCATTACTGCCACCAGACACAAGGCAACAGGAACTTTTTGATTAAGAATGATTCTTTTGAATTCTTCCATTGAAATTTTTAATTTGGGCCCTAACATAAAATAGCAATAATTATGATAATATTTATGTATAATGTCTATACCTATGTTCAAATTCACTACAAGATCACCTACAATGTCAACATCTTCAACTGCAGCACTAAATTTGGTGTCATCAAAGGTTGAAAGGGTCAGCTGTGTGGCATCTATATCAGGAACAAAATCTACCCATGATTCATCATCTGCTTGATCAATGGGTGAAGAACAGTAATTATCCAAGCCATCAGCACATTCAGCAGTCAATGAATAGGAAGTAGCATTAACCCTGAATAAAGATGCCATAAAAATTCAATGACATAAATAAGCTAGTACAACTTACAATGAATCATAACTAATCAAATTCTGATCCTCCCACTTCTTATTAGTAACTTTATGTAACATTCGCTTCTGAATTGAGACATCAATGCACAGGTTTGTTTCATCAATGGCACTGATTAAAAAATCCAATACTTTTGTATTGAACTTTTGTGATAATCCTGACTTAATTTCGTGCAATACTGAGCCAGAATAATTTTGCATTGATGGTTGAAAAAAAATGGTAAAAATACAACGACTAGATACTGGAACAGTAGGAATAGAATTCGGAGGAATTCGAAACACTTGAATTTTTTTCATAATGCTCTTATATTGCTTGACATAGATACCAAAAACCTTTTTATCTCCAAGGTCATTATCGAGCTCTTCTAGAAGGTCATAATTGAGCCAGTTGCAGCGCCTTAAGATGAATTCATGAATGTTAGTGTCGTTCGCAACATTCAACCATTCAGATATGCGTTTTTGTGTGATCCCTTCAAAAACTTTAATGTATGCTTGTGCAAAATTTAGCCTCATTTTTTTAACTTCAGCTGGCTCATCCCATTTACTGTAGTTGAAGGAAGTGACTGATACTTGATTCTGGCCCTCTAGTTGACTAATTACAAACTCAGTGATGTCAGTTGGCAATGTTTCAGATGTAAGAAATGCTTTGACTAACGTACGACAATTGGCATGCAGTGCTTCCTTGTTCCTCCAGTCCCACAGAATTTGAAGAGCAGTAGAAGATACTGACTTATCATTTGATGATTCCGCCGAGTTTGATTCAGGATGAACAGAGCAACTGAGGCATTCAGCAAGAGGTTTTATGTGATCGGCAGATATACGAAACGAGAGGATAATAAATAAAGCATCAGTTACTTGATCCTTTACTGTATCGTTGTAATAGTGTTCAGCAACTTCAGTTCTTGAACTCATTCGATTCCTCAGTCAAAGACCAGTCCACACGGGCTCAAATTTTATACGACTAAAAAACGGAGTAAATTTACGGATCCTTGATTGAAAAGGGTGTGGTTACAATGAAATTAAAATGTCGTGTATCAAATGAAAAAACAAAAAACAAGATTAATAAAGCAAGCTAAAATTAATCATTATTAAAATTATTATAAAAATATATGAAGCTCTTTGAGTTGAGCTTCAAGCTCAGTCTTTGATCTTTTGTTGTTCTTTATCCAGTGCATCAGCAACATTAGGAATGCTGACCATCCATCATTATTCTCTTTTATGCTATCCCAAACTTCCTCTTTTATTTGCAATACATGCAAAAGCTTTATCTGGCTCTCCTCATCCACTAACTCTTCTGACAACTTTACTGCAAGGTTGGCTAACTCGGAGGCCTCAAAAGAACCTATAAAACAATATACCATATAGCACTTTAATTTGGTGGAAATTTTATTTTGGCGATTGGTAGTTTGCAAGCAGAATCGCCAATATTAAAACCGCCAATCATCAATGCACATGCTCAGTAATGCACATGTAGACAAAAATCGCCAAATTAAAAACCACCAATTACAATTTTACAGCAAAATCGCCAAATAAAACGTTATACAGTACATAAATTCCTTGAGATTGCATGCATAAACATAAAAAGTTGATAATCTGGTTTGAAGATTGTACATTATTACTGTTATATTTTCTTGCAAAACGCGTCTATCAATTCATACCAATTATGACAATACCTTTCTTTATCTCTTCCTTTTTATCTCTCTCATTAACCTAAAAGAAAGATTATTTACATATGAAAGACTAAGTCTCCAAAAATGCTTACCATATTAGAAACAGTAGACTCCCAATCTTTTCTGAATAAAACAGGATTAGTATCATTAGCCTTCACTTCACTGCAGCATCTCTGGCATGTAAGACTCTTACTTTTATCTATTTTGTGATAGATGAAATGGTGATTGGATTCACCACTGTCAGTACAACGCAGCAAAAAATAATACTCTAAATCGTTGACCGACTTCTTGGCATCTTCCATGGCAGCAGTGCATGCTTTGACTACAAGAGGAGAAGCTGCTTCATATGCTTCTGTAGAACAATCATGTTCCAATCTCAGCTCCACAATATCTTTATGGTCGATTATGGTAACATCAACGTGTTTCTCTTTATTGTGGTGTATCCTGATGATTGAAGCATTGATGTGTAGGAAAGGAATAAGAGAGCAATTGCTGTACTTGAGGAAATGGCGAACCAAAAGAACTTGAATATCACCAGGTATGCACGATGTGTACTGGAGGTAAAGAGAAAGAAATTGAGGACCATTGGTTGCTTTTGAAGGACGCATGCTAGGAATGTAGTAAGAACGATCTGCTGCAATCGAAAAATCTAGAGTCTTCACTTTCAATGTGCTAATTGGAACAGCAAAACGAAAAGACTTCAAGAGAATCTTGAACATTTCGGGGTCTAACTTCTCATCCTTTGCTAACTCATCAATAGCTGCTTCAGTAATGAATCCATAGGAGCTTGCTGTATCAAGAGAACGGCCACAGTCAAAGACCTTGTCGAGGCAATCAGTGAATCTCTCAATATCGAGTAGGACAATATCAGTGTAGGAGGGAATGTAAAGGAGACTGGCAAAGCTTGTGAAGGTGGTCAGAAATGCTTCAACTTCACTGGGATCTATACCAGCACCACATGAAGTGGCCAAGTTGTTGATATCACTTTTAGTCATAAGTGATATGTTTAAAGCCTGGAGAAGGCTGCGTAGAAAAAACCCACCTTACAGGTAGACCAGTAATATACTTGCTCGTATTTTCAAGTACCACCTCTTCAAGTATTCCTTTGGTTCCTTTCATATCTGATAAGTCGATGTCTTTCTTAATAGCATAAAGGCCATATTTCCCAAAAATTTTCTTGAAATCATCAAATTTTGATTGACTGCATGAAGGCAGACGAACAAGTATAGGATGAGCAGGTGTCTCAGAATTTTCACTTGACTGATGTCTCATCAAGTGATGAATATGCTTCCTCCTTGTTACATAGGCATTTAAGAGGTGATTGAGTGGTGTATCATATCCACATATATCATAAGACTCAGGCTCAAGTGGTTTATCTAGATTAGACGAATCTTCCCCAGAAGAAAAAAATAATGGCAGTGATCTTTTGCAATGCTGGCCAAGAAATGGAAGGAAATTATGTGCTGCTTTGCTGGGGCCAATATTGAAGACAGTGAGGAACGTCACACCTGGTGTAAGGAGATCCAATTTTTCCTGGTGATCCTTGAGAGCCTTCAGCCTCTTCGTTACTTCATAGAAGAGCCACTCCCCATGCTTGTTCTGCTTTAGCTCCTCTTCATTGAAATCTGATTGATTTTCAGCGATACACAAAAATTCCATTGGGATGTTTCTTAGCTTCAGAGATTGAATGAGACAGCATAAAAAGCAGAGGCTAATACTTGAACGCTTAGTGCCCAACAACCACATGAGATTGTTAAAAGGAGACTTGCCCAAAACATTGAAATTAAAAGAAGACAAACCCCCCTTTGAACATCTTTTTTGCAACCTGGTATGATACTGACTGGCCAAATCTGACTTGCTGTCTTTAAATTTAACAGCATTCTTGATGAAGTCTTGAAATAAAGCTGATTTCTCTTGAGTAGAGAGACCAACAAGAGTGGCAGTGCACATGACTACTGGAACAGACCTTGTCTTGACCAGATCAAGCATATACAAAAAATCTAGTGCTTTTTCTTGTGATGAAGAAGGACCTATACATACAGTACATAAAAAATCATGGTTAAGGCACTGCATGGCATATAAGGCCATTGTATAATGTCATTGTGTCAATTTAAATTAAAACAATGTGTGGTTCTCGCATAATATGGATATACATGTATTTTATAGAACAAAGTTCAATAACAGCATAACTTTGTACCTTTTGGAACAACAAGGACATCTTCATGTAGTTCTGCAGCTTCCTCTATATCGCAAGTCTGGGATTCATGATCCGGTAAGTCGGAAAACTTTGGGGGAGACTCCTTAGTAGCAGTAGGAGAAATAGGATCCTCATCATAGATTAATCTATTCATCGTACAACTAATGTCAGATTTTTCTGAATAATGCTCTGTCAAGTAGTCCATGCCAGGGACCATGTTTCGTGGGATAGACTGCATCTTCAGTAAGTGGAAGACAGTATGCGATTCATTATGACCATAACTCTCCTTAGCTTTCGTGTAAAAGCCGTATTCATTTTCCTCATTTAGTTGCTCATCCCGAGGCTCAACCTACATAATTATATATATATCCTTAGCCTATATAGCCTATGAATAAGGTCATGTATACTACATGTATATCCTAACTGAGTTTGACTGCCGGGAAGTGGACTAACTCCAGGAACTGTGCATGGAAGCAGCTGTGTGGAATATAAAAAAATGTAGCCATGATGCCATTAGTGACACATTATAATGATATTCATAGAAGCAAGGCCGATATTTTACAGCTTCATGGTTGACCTGTATTTCACTCTTAAATAGGTCTTGTTTTTATGATAAGCAGTACAATAACTGCTGGTAGGAGTCAACTAGTCTTCATTATTATAACATCTTGCTCTGTGAGCTTTTACAAGAATTATTAGTTTGCACTTGGGCTTGAGCTTGAAACCACATGTTCTTATGCACGATAACAACCAGTGTGACTTGGTATACTATTGGGTTTATAGGGAGAACCTGGTTCTCAGGGTTCCGAAGGGCTGAGAGACCCAAGACCTGAGATCCTGTGATGGCATTGGCGAATAAGAACCTATGAAAGTTTTATCCTTATCCCACATTCCTATGAAAAGTTATTCCAGTTTTTTCTTGGGTCAAACTCAGTTGGGGCATATAGTCCCACCCACGCATATGATCATTAGTCTTTTTGACACCGTTAGTCTACCACAAACATGCATGTGTCTAACGTACCCTATCGGGATCCTTTGTAAATGGAGGAGAAAGCGGCACTTCTAGAGGCTGAGGGCTCTCAACATTAGCAGGATCCGCTACTCTCACAGAATCAGGACTCACCCTTGGATTCGCCATCTTAATTAATATAATTTAATTTATTTATTTAGGGGTGTGTAACTAATCATAATAGTACACACCCCATATAAAATTCTTTACTTTCAATTATTCATGTAATCATCATGATAAAAGCTAAAATATACATGTCTTATTATCCCTCTATATAACAATGACATTACAGACACTGCAAAAAATGCTAAAAAATTTGACACATTAACAGCAACAAACTATAATATACTATTAAAATTTGTGTGAAGTGATTTGCAAGTATGTATAATATCCATTGCAAATAACTGATAATTACTGATGCACTCTGCTCTTGTTACAAAATATAAATATTTAAAAGGAATTATTAAAATAATTATAAAAATACATGGAGCTCTTCCAGAAGCTCATCCTTTGATTTTTTGGACTTCTTCATCCACTGATCAAGCAACACTGCAAATGCCATCCACCCACCACCAGTCTTGACTTTGATATCATCCCAAACTTCTCGCTCTACTTTTAACCGTCTCAACAAACTCAACTGACTCTCATCATCTACAAACTCTTGAGATAGCTTCACTGCAAGACTAGCCAGCTCCAAGGAATCTGCAAAAAATACATCATTAATATTCAGTTTCACAATTAACAGGCTGCCACTGTTAGTCATCAGGCATTGTGTATTTTTATAAGTTATATAAAATAGCAAGTAGATTTGGGAGCAAACATTGATATGACAACTGCCATTATACCATGACAGGAACTACCATAAGATCATAAATACCTTTCATTGTCTGTAATTCTTTTCCATCACTTTCAATAAGCTACATGTATAAATAAATATACATTATAAAAGAATAAGACTCTGAAAATGCTTATACCATTTTAGAAACAGATGATTTTGTGTGTTCCCGTAAGGAAACAGGATAAGAATCACTGGGCTCAACTTCACTGTATTTTTTGCATGAAGTGTCCTCGTTATTTTCCATTCTGTGATAGATGAACTGGTGATCATCACTCTCAGTACAACGCAGCAAAAAATAATACTCTAAATCATCGACTGACTTCTTGACATCTTCCATGGCAGCAGTGCATGCTTTGACTACCAATGGGAAAGCTGCTTTGTATGCTTCATGCAGTTGAACGACCATGTTCCAATCTCAGCTCCACAACATCTTTATGGTCGATTATGGTAACATCAATGTGCTTCTCTTTACTGTGGTGTATCCTGATTATCGAGGCATTGATGTGTAGGTAAGGGACAAGGAAGCAATTGCTGTACTTGAGGAAATGATGAACCAAAAGAACTGTATTACCGGACACACATGATATGTACTGGAGGTAGAGAGAATGGAACTTAGGGCCATTGGTTGCTTTTGTAGGACGCATGCTGGGAATGTAGAACGAACGATCTGCTTCAATAAAGAAAATATTATTGCTCTTCACCTTTGATGTGCGAACTGGAACAGCAAAATAAAAAGACTTCAAGAGGGTCTTAAACATCTTGGGGTCTAACTCCTCATCCTTTGCTAACTTATCAATTGCTCCTTCAGTAATGAATCCATAGGAACTTGCTTTATCAAGTGGAGAATGGCCACAATCAAAGACCTTGTCGAGGCAATCAGTGAATCTCTCAATATCCAGCAGGACAATATCAGTGTAGGAGGGGATGTAGAGGAGACTGGCAAAGCTTGTGAAGGTGGTCAGAAATAGGGCATGAACGAATGGGTAATATTGCTTACCGAAGGTTTTCTTTTATGAGCGAACGAATATTCTATTTTTAATAACATTAATTACTTTATTACAATTATTTCGCCTGATTTATTAATTTTAATTATTTATAAATTTGATGCTACAAAAGAGTTACAAAATAATGTAAAGATAAATGAGAGAAAGGGCAAACGTTAAAAGTTTATTTAGTTGCATACATTTTTCAAATAATGATAGTTAGCATGTAAGAAGGTTAATGCATCAACATTATCTGGTTTTAAACAGCTTCTTAATTTTGACACGGTTAAACCTGCAGTTGAGAATAGCCTCTCACTTGAAGTAGAAGTAGCTGGAACACATAAAACATACTTTGCAACTTGTGACAAAATAGGAAATCTAGTGTGATTTTGTTGCCACCACAGTATCGGATCAGAATCCCTCGAGATCACTTTCTCGGTATAAAATAAAGATAAATCGGTTTCAATATTATTGCTATGGTTAATCTCCAACTCGGATGCCTCTTCTCCTAGTAGAATATCCAGTGCTGATTTTGATTTCTTCTGTGGTGGTATTTCGTTACAAGGTACAGCCTCTGGTGTAGCACAATGCAATTGAATATATTTAGCACGCTCAATTATGTACTCTTTGACTTTTGACTGCTCAACTTCAGTTAAAAACTTTAGGTGCTTGAACCTTGGATCTAGTGCTGTAGCAGTGGCCAATAAAAGATTGGCATCAATCTCATCCAGTTTCCATCTAGTTTTCATTCCAGCAACTACCTTTTCCTTAAAAACTCTTATAGCAATAGACTCAGTAGTATTGTCAGATGAACTAAGCTGGCTAATTATACTGTATACCACAGGAAGTACAACAGACAATGAAATATGACTTTCACTGCTAAAAACAACAGTTGCAATTTCCAATGGCTCTAGAACTTTAAACAAATCTTCCAGAAGAAGCCAGTTTTCAGAGGTTAAATCAAGATAACGGTATTGCCGTTTTGTGATAGTTTCATCCGACAAAACAGCAGTAACAGGCCATCTGTTTTCTAGCAAGCTTCTGATCATGTAAAAGGTGCTGT